GTGGTACACCAGGCTTGGAGAACTCGTACCAATGTAACTGTGATGTATCGCGATGGGTAATAAAGAAATGTATATACAGTTAGTAAATACAGCGACTACACGATTGGTAACTAACTGCGTACAGCGGTGGCCACGCAGGGAGAAGAAACCAAAATAATTCGTGGTCGAAGCGTCCTACCGATACCTTCGCGAAACTAAAATAAAGAAAAATAATAAAGGAAGAAGATCAGCTAAATGTCGCGAGTTTCCCTCTCCACCTGCGAGGCTGTACCCCTTCAATTTCCCAAAATGGAATATTACGCGTACACGACAGAAAACGGGACATCTAAAACTACTCCTAGCCACCCTGTTCGGCGCGACGCCGACGTAACCACCCTCGTAACTTTCTTCTTCCTTCGTTTCGCCTCTGGAATGCTGTTACACCCTCTCCCCGCGAGCTCCGTGGGGAGAACTTTTGCACGCACGTGTTCCGCGTTTCTCACCGGTGCTTTATTAAACCGAGGCCCTCGAGTACGGGAACGACTTTGAGAGTCAGGTATTCGGTGAGTGGCGGGGCAGGTGTCAGGGGTTGCTAGACGTCGGGCGCCGAACGCATCCCCTCCTCCAACGAGTTTACGAGCCGGGAGTAGTGCTCGGTACGGAGGACTTCGTTTTATCGGCCATTAACTCGATCGTGATTAGCTACCCTCTTTTAACCATCGCTTCTTCATTCGATTCGAAACGAGAAGACAACGCGGCGCGGGCGATTGCCAAGGGGGTGGGAAACGGGTTTATTTTGATGTTAAGAGCCAGTTGACTGGTCGGGGCTAACTACCCTGGAATTAGCGAGACTGGAGCATCCATATCGCGTGGTTATGAAGCACGTGAACACTTTTGTTGTACGAGATAGGGGGATGTTCGTTGGATGCTTTGTGCTATTACGAAAATTGTCTATCGCTGAAACTGGCCAATGTGTGTGCAAGTATTTCCATTAGAGAATTACTAACATAAATTGTCTATTGTCCAATTGTCTACCACTAGATTCTATAATATCGAGTTGTCCAGGAAGTTCGTTCCACTTTTTAAGAAAAATTCAAAGCCACGTAATTTGTTTCCAACCAAAAATTGACACGAATAAACATACATTTAATAAAATGTCGTAAGAGTCTCGACGGAAAATAATTCGTGTTCTTGTTTGATTCCTTATTCTTTGGTACGGGAAGCGCGGTACAACAATATGAATATTATTATATTAATCCACGAAACGTCTTCTAAGAGCTTCTAAAATTTTGCTCATAATAATACTCCCAACGCCATCTCAGCCACCTATTTTCGAACCTAGTTTGCCACACTTTGCCCCCCAGAAACTTCGGCGACAAAGTCGTTGGCGGAACTTTGGAAATTTTTAGTAGAATTCGCCTCGGAAAGTTCTTTCGTCGACAGCTGGGAAACGAGGATCCCAGGCCCATTTGAGAAACAGTTTACGAGTCTTGCGCGTTTCGGGGACATAATGGGCCCCGGGAGCAATTAGCGTTATCGAGACGTAGTATCGTTCGAACAACATTAGAGGCGGGCTAATCTAAACGCGGCAATCGTTATCGTTACAAATATTTCCGGAAACTGTCGCGAGGAACACCGCATTATCGAGGAACGAGGCAAAAAGTCGATCCTCGCGGGCCGTCACGTGTCTCCATCTGTCGCGGTTTCCGGGAACTGCTCACTGCCCAGGGCGCGACCAGGACTTCTCGAGAGGACATCGAAAGTTCTGAAAATATTTACCGGAGGATACTTCGCGGTTACTCGACGATTTAATTCAGCGTTTCTCAAGATTCTTTTCAGCATGGAGCACTTTCCTTTTTGGAGTAATAAATAGTGGACCATTTAAATTCATGGCTACTTGGTTCTTAAAGAGGATACATGTACAATTAACGATATTAAAATCTGTATTAATAACCAAAAATTACAGTTTGGAAAACGCTGGTGCTGGTTTAATTGCTATCGAGTCCCCATTTCTTTTGTCCCCGCTTTCCAATGTCTTCTGAACGCATAGATTCGAAATAAAAGTGCCAACAAGGGCGCAGAGATGCTACAGAACCGGCTCGTGTTTAAATTTCTCGTTAAATCGGATCCAAAAGATACTCTTTCAATCGGTCGGTTCCCAACCGGGTGTCACTTTTTGAATTTTGAACGTGTTTGGGAATCGGAAACTCCTACGGTTTCATCCGCAACTAGAGGCTAATTGTGTGCGCTTTTTACCGTTTGAACTTCAAATTTCATCGACTACCGTGGCCTTCCAGGCATCAAATCATGACTCGATGCATGCGAACCAATTCAAACGATTTTTTAAATTACACGCGAAACGACGAAGTAGAAAATTACCAATTAACCGAATAAAACGATAGGAGAAGACGAGTGCGTAGCGTGCTCCAGGTAGAGATAAACGAAATTTCATTGAAATAATGGATATCGAGCCAGAATCGCTATGCAGTGATTTATTAATAATGTCCATTCGATTGAACATTCGAACGGGTACCGTAATTTGATTATACACCCGATTCGTATTGTAATGTTTGTCGTACAAACAACGCACCAAGAGTTGTTTACATTTTATTCGATGATATAGTAATTGATACTCGTTGAAAAATCGAAAAATGTAGGCAGTCAGCGGGAACATTATTGTTATTAATAAAAAATCCAAGGTCTGTTCTATATTTCACTATGACTGTTTTTAATGTTGTTTGTCTAGTCTGAGGGGTTAATATACTAGTAGCTTAGAAAAATATACATTTGTAGATTTCATTTCTTACGTATAAGGGTTTAGCTTGCCTCTGGTTCACGACGAAGAGCCAAAATAAATAGAGTCGCGTTTCGGAGGAGGAAAGTTACTCCTTTAGCTCGAATTCTCACCCCATAAGTTCCTAATAAATGTCAGCGACAGACGTTCTCGCCACTGAATCCGAACGAACTCGCAGGAGTCTTCAGATCATTTCTAATTTCGCCCCACGTTTCCGTAAATCGATTCGAGTGGTCGACGTCGAAAAGAGACACGGCCAACCCCAAGAATACGGCGATAACGTTTCGCCACTCTTGCTAATTTCGCAAATGGAACAACCGCCGCGTTTTCTCGACGGTAAGGGATTCGCTTAATTACCGTGATGAAAATTCTCCATTACGGCGAGCAATCGAGAGTAAACATTCCCCCCGTGATTCGATGGAAATTAACCAACAGGTGAACGAACCCTCGTCGTAACCAGCCGCGAACGCCGCGGTGATAATTTGCCGAAGGAACGATGGAAAAGCTTCCTGCACCCGCGTCCACGTACAGGGTGAACGGTTTTCACGGAAATCGGGACAAATAACGATAACATTGGCGACAAAAGCGAAAGGTAGAGACATAAAATCAACACAGCGGTCCTGGTAAATACCGAAAAATCACGTTTCATAGCTCAGCAGACTAAACAAAGAATGTATTATTATTTTGACAAAAAAAAAAAAAAAAAAAAAAAAAAAATAATAATAAAACCGTTTGCCAACCACTAAATTTTCCATTTACGAGCCAAAAATTGCTACCTTGAATTTCCCCATTACTGAAAACGACAATTACCGAAAAAATGCACGGATAATTGGAAGGCTCGCCACGGCACGCATAATAGGAAATTGGTTCGCAAATTCGCCACCAAATATTTTACCGAAAAATCGATCGGCACCCCGTTAGATTTCAGTGTGTTAATCCCGCGACGGTTCGCGGCGAGTCGCGAATATCGATTTTCGCGGGCGCGTCGGCTCTTTTCAATTCCCGTCGGAGATGCTTTATTTGTTTGCTCGCCGCGTTAAGTTCTGCCTTTCTCCGCCACCCCCGACACACGCGGAATTCCTCTCTCCGTCTCGTCTCGTTTCTCTCGTCGGTCTGCCGGTGAATTGGATCCGGACGCATCGGAGCTATCGCATTACGTTAACCGCGGAAAAATGTCTGCACCGTGAATCTCGGGACGCGAATCCCGCGACGACGAAAAACGAGCAAATTTCTGCGGCGGTTCGAGACCGCGCGAGATAATTCCAGAGATCGTTAAATCTGACGATTCAACCCTAGAATACGTGGTCGCAGGCTGGTTGGACGCTTTGACGCACAGAATTGCGATCTTACGCGGGTTCGAAATTGATATGAAACGTCTGTTGGATTTTTCATAGAAATTTATTACAAAAATTATTCTCGTGAGAAGCAAGATGCTGTTTCTTATTTGTCTTGTCCAGCCACCGATGCTTCAGGCTATCGACCCTGTATGTTTTCGTTAGTGGTTCAGTTCACTTCAGAAAGAGCTCGAGAAATGCCAATTCCAATGCGTATGTAATAAAGTACTATAAGAGGAATTACAATTCGAGGACTCATTAGACCCCATTTCCTAACAACGTCAAATAGGATGTTCTCTTGCAGCATGATTTCTCATATAACCGTACTATTTATGAAACCTAGTGAGAATTTTTGATCTACACAACGCTTGCATATCGCTCCAAAAATAAACTTTCTTATTGTAATACCCTATTTCGCATTCAACTCCGAAAAAACAGTGCACGATTCGCTGGAAACGAGGCTCGTTTACACGCCGGGGTACAAAAGGATCACGGACCTCGTCGTTTCGCGCGAGCAGATTTTCGGAGCGGGTCGAGCCGACGGCAAATCCAAAATCGATGCGACTAGGGTCCACTTTCCACTTTTTTACGATGGGAATCATATCCAGCTCGGACAGCCGGTTTTCAGGATCGCTCGCGGATAATCCTCTTTCGGGGAGAACAGAAATCTCGCGGAACTCCGAAACTCAGGAGTGCTATTCGCGAGATCACCCTCTACGTGTTTGCACGCTTTGGGGAGCCGCGTTTCTCGGCAAAACGAGCTTTCAACATCAATTAACGCAATGCCAACGCCTGCTTTCCACCTATGCACAGTAGCTGCGTGCCGTTGTGGGGGTTTCCAGCCTTTTTTACGAAATCGTCGAATTCAAGATCGAGCGGACGTGGTCGCGTACCTCAAGAATTCGGGCGACACCTTGCCGGTTTGCTAGCAGCGCATTTCCTTCGAGAACGTGGTGGCCTCCCTCGTGGCTGGAGTCCTGGCCCTCTGCGCACCGACCGGCAAACTCAGATTTCCCGATCTTCCGAAGAATATATTACTCCGTTTGTACTCTCATCACCGATCACTTTGCCACTGAACGTACGTTTCTCGAGTCGCGGTTCACTTCTATATAGATCACTTCAATCACACGTTCGTCCCTTCGCGGAGAAACGACTCGACGATTTGGAGCACAGTCGTCAGCGAGCACGATAATCCAGACTGGATGGAAAGGACCCACTACTCGTCGCACTCGTGATCTTGCCTATCTCTCACCAGGCACGGAAATTTCACTGAGTCGAACTGCTCCAAAAAGAAAAAAAATAAAAAAAGAATGACATCGAAGTCGCACTCGCGCACCGAGAACTCGCGATTCAGGAAGGTCGTGTGCATGGGTATCTAATTGGACGTTGCGCTTGCTAGTTTCTCGCACCCTCGAACTCGAAACACGCGCGTTCAGCAACCACGACGACGGGAACGCAATTAACGACGTTCTCTTGTCGGCGGCGCGCGGCACACTGTTGCTCCCTGCTTTCGCCCGATCGCTCGGAGGCTTTGCTCGGTGCCTAACCCCCCACCGTTCTCGCTCTCTATCCACTATCGCGTTGCTGGTTTCCCCCACCCTTAGAATTTCACCCCTCCATTCGCGTTGCTACGCTAGCAATCCCCCACTCTTCGAGTACGACTCTTCTTTCTTCGTGGTGCGTGGCAGACTCCTTTCACGAGAGCGCGAAAGAGCGAGCGTCGAGGGTGCTAAACGGAGGGAAGAGGACGAAGAACCGTGTCGTCCTTTTAGAGCCGTGAACACGGTTGGGACTCGTTGGGGAAAAAAGGAAACATCGGTCGGAGGGTGTGTGCGTGCCCACCGAGTCCGGGTTCGAAAGCTACGCGTTGTGCGCCCTTTGCCTGCACCGTGGTGCCCTCCGACGAGGGTTTGCAGGGGTGTTCTCGTGTCGGCGGGCACAATGCGAGCGACAGGACACTCTGACGATTCAGCGGGTGTAGACAAAGTCGTCGCGCAAAGTGACGCGTCTCTATTGTCGGGACGGAAATTGTTTAACGTCGACGGACTGGAGATCTTGGGGGAGTTGTCCCTTCTTTTTTAGATGAACCTAGGTGCGAGGAGCGCAAGAGGGTCGTACATGTAAGGTGCAATAGAGGGAAGACGGAAAAACAGTGAAATTCGAGGTGCATTAACGTAAAGGGTTGTTTGGAAAGAACTTCGGTAACATTGATTTTTAAATAAAATTCTATGATAATTGTTAAAAGACAACTTCTTTTCACTGTGTACTCTTCGCTCACCTGGAGCAATTCTACGAGCCCCCGCAATAACAATTCGATGACAGGAAAACGTATTCAACTTGGTTAGCTGCGAAACACCTAATTAGCTATCCGTGTCGCATCCGGTCTGGATTCGCGCGCAGGAAACTGGATTAGAGCGTCAGCGACGCGACGGTACGCAACATCCGTCTCCTTATCGTCGCGACGAGATCGCGAGCGCGACACAGCGTGAAGAGCAACGAAACTCGCGAGTGGGATGTGGGTCACGAGCCTAGCCATGCGTTCTTCCGACTAGGAACAGCTGACTCCAACAGCGGAGCTTGGAATCGTGGAGATAAAATTAACAACGGCAACAATGGTGCGTCGATAAGATCAGTTTACGAAAAACATTATCAGCTACTTCTAGGAATGTTATCACTGTTCTCTTTCGTATCACATTTTTGTGCGACCTTAATCGCAGAGGTAAATAAGAAGCCTATCTAGCGAAGCGATCCAATGGGAAGCGAAGGAAACGTTTTCCCGAAGACAGAAGCTCTAAAAGTGTCGACTACCGGGCGTGATCGCTTAACTGCACCATGTTTGCCCAAATATTAAATTACCTCGACAAAGAACTACTCGAAGCGCCTTCAAGCTTGTATCCACTGTTTACGCCTAAGAGGATACGTTCTTCCGGAGGAACTGCGTCGAGGTGAATAACCAACCTCCAACCTGTTCCCGTCTTCCGACCGAACGATCGCCAATGTCTCTGCTCGTGCGTCCATCGCTTCGGTAACGACCGTTTCCGCTTTTTTTTTCCCAGCGGTTCGCCTCGAGCCACCAATCACCAACGCTTAGCCGGCTCTCCTACGCGCATGAACGCAACAAGGCGTCGCGAAAACGCAGGCGGAATTGCTTGTGTCGTACAGCTGGGAGCACTGGATGGAATTAATTAGATGCTTCTTTGACCGCCTGCCGTCGTGGATGCGCTTGTGTGCTCGATAGGTTTTCGGGGATCGGATTGCAGGAGGAGTACCATTTCTTCCTTACAACCCTTTCCTTCGTCATTGACGAGACGATCATAAGCAGAGGTGAGCAAGTCAGTTTTAGTGTTCCATTCTATGGTAATGATAACGCTCCATTTTATGGCTCGCGTTCATTTTGTTATGATTTTAGTGTAGAAGTCCTCGTTTCCTATATGCATCCTGCGATTGGCCATTATACTCCACAATAAGCCTGTAGGTACACGCTGGCATTATTCATCGTACTCCGATAAAATTGGTCTCGTGTCTGGCTCGAGGCAACGGTATTTCGAGAGGCCATGCGACTACCGGCGGATATCCGCAAATACATACCGCGGATGAGTATTTAGAAATCCTTTCGTTCGGTCGTAGGATCGCGAGGGGAAGCGGTCTGCGGCGCCTGGCGTCGGGAACTTCAAACGAGAGCGAGCGGCTTTGGGGAACAGGTTGATGCCGAAACGGTCCATTGTGGTTATTGTATTGCTCGCGATATTGTGCTCCGTCGCGGTGGACGCTCGTCGTCGGCCTGGGCTCGTCGAATAAATGGCAAAACGGAGCGGGGTCCGCGCGCGGTTTCCAGCCACCCCATAGACCGCAGACGCCGATGGAACGAGCCGTCGCGCAAAAAGCGACGCGCCTGGACCGGGGGCTGGTGGCCCGCGGGCCAGGAGTGGCTCGCGAGGTACGACCTTTAAATAAATTTCAGAGGAGAAACAGAAGCAGTAGGGTGGGGATTGTAATGGTAGCCAGGTTCGGATAGAAAGAGGCCAGGAGAAAATTCAGGTTGAAGCTCGATTTGAACGAAGATTTGTTTGCTCTTGAGAATCGTAAGTGACGAATGTCTATGGAACTTTGATTATCGAGTATGGGTGGGTGTTACTGAGCAAGAAGTTGAGGATTTATGGGTTGAACGAAAATTTGTTTGCTTTTGAGAATCCTAACTGAAGAATACCAATGGCATAATTTAAATTATAATTACTGAACACGAGGAGGTGTTGCTGAGTAAGAAGTACTCGTTGAGCTCGGGTGCCTCGGGATCGCCAAACCCGTACTGCAGCTGCAAGCACAGCTACAGCCCCTGAGGGACCTATTGCATAGGTGCATCGATTGTTTCGCAGAAATGTTCAGCCCCAAATCCTTCCTATAATCGCGGTTCGACAAAATAAACAGAGAAAAGTTTGGTGCTGGTTCGAAGATCGGACGCCGGCGCCTACGCGGAGCGGCGACAGCTTTTCTGGAAGCGCTCCAACCAGGAGCTTGTTTGCCGAACGCCGACCCGAAAGGTGATGCAGCGAATTTTCCGAGTGTTTGCTAAACATCGCGCAGGTTGTGCATCGCGTCGTCGAGTGGATCCTTGTCGGGGGCTCCGCGCGTCGCCGGAAAGGCGTTAATGCGTCCCGTGAGAAAGTGGCGCTGGGTGGACGGGTAGAAAAGGATCGCTGGATACCCAGGGATTTACCTGACGAAGAATCCTTGCGAAAGAATTCACAGTTGTGTCAGAAGAAGACACAAAAATCAAACGAAGCGACTCGAACTCAAACAGAACGGCTAATACAACTCCGAGAGACGTAATTCGCCCTTTAAATTCTCGAAATTTCCCGGAAATACGCAGAACGGAACCGGAATTCTAGACTTTTGATCGCTGACTTGTCTGCGGATGATAGTTGATGGATCAACACCGTCGGAGCGCAACCAAAGGCGTCCGTTTCGGAGCAGATCGCGGTGGTCGCTGGCCAGAAGTTTAAAACGCGAGCAAATATGGTTTATGAGCTGTTAGGGCCGCGGCCGTAGCGGTGGATTCCATCGCGGAGGAGGATTGCGCAGCCTGTTTGCGAGGGATGATGCATCGTTCGACAAACACGGGTAATCTTCGTCGGTTTTCGGGCGTCAGAAGTTTGTTTAACCTTCCTCGAAAACAGGCGAGATAGCCGGTGTATCTAGCCGGGTAAATAGACCGAAGAACTTGTCGTATCTCCGGAGAGCCGCGCTCTTCGACAAAAATACGCGATAACCGAGGCTCGGAGAATGTAAAGTTCGTTGCACTCGAATATTCATTCGAAGGAACGGCGATAAAACGGACAGAATTCTTCCAAGCCCTGAAGAACAAGGCTAGAGACATTCACGTGCAACGAGACCTCCGCGCGGTCCTTCGAAAGCAAACCTGACGGACTCCATGAAACGGAGAGTAGAGAAACACCTCCCAAGCGTTGGTCCAACCTTTAGACCTTATTCAAGCTCGAGTAGTTCATCGAAAATAAAATCGACGAGGGTGTTCTCAACTTTTTATCGGAACGCGATCGACTCGACCTTCTCGTCCTGTCGTCGCGCCAATTTTTCCGCTTTCGTTCCGAACGGATACCGAAATTCGTCGCGTAGGTTATCGAGTCGTTATCGAGCGACAAGGTCCTCTAAGTGCACGCACCTCCAGGACCAAGGTGGCCGGCGTCCTCGATTACCAGCCGAGCAACGAGCGATCGCGGTCGCCCGGGACCTTTTAAATAAACATGAGACGCGTCGTCGAGAGTCACGACTCTCGTCGGCGGAGTTCGACCGCGATCGCCTTGGGGATGGAGCTGGCATCGCACGAGATCGTGTAAAGACGATAACGGAGACACAGATAAGATTAAACGGCGCGGGTACAAAGAGCCGAGTTGTCCACGAGCCGTGTCGACGTTGGGACGATTTTTCACGACGGTGTTCGATCTTCAAAGGCGGCGTCAACGGGACTGGTCACCGAAAGTTAACAGCGACTATCAAAGAAGAGGGCATTAAAGTATCGCGACCATCAAGAGTGACTCACGTAGAACCAGCGCACGCGCTCCCTCGATAAAATTGATATTAATGGACGCGCGAGAGGGACGCTCGCGTTAATTCCATGCGGTAATTTTCGGCCTGGCCTCTTTAACCCTTTGAGAACGGGCGCCGAATGCCAGCTGGCGCGCCCAATCTTCCCATACTCTATTTTTTAGTAGACACGCGTTACAACAATTTCTGTTTATTCTGTGCAATCATTGACCACTATAAAAAATTCTCTAAATACCCAACAAATCAGTCTCTACGCTCCGCACTAATGCACACCTACTCGTTTGCTTTCGAAGGACCTCGTCGATTTCTCTAGCTTGTTCTTCAGGTCTTTGAAGAATTCTGTCCGCTTCATCGCCGTTTCTTCGAATGGATGTGAAACGAACTTTACATTCTACAAGTTTTGTTTATCGCGTATTTGTGTCAAAGAGCGCGGCTCTCCGGTGATACGAGTCCATTTTAAGTAGTATAAACCGTGCGTAACGGACCAATGAGAGACACCTATCGCCGACGCAGGATCTATTGTACGACCACGCGGTTACGGCACCAGCGATTGTTTCTATAAATCTCTGTCCAGGATGACGAGTTAATATACGGATCGGGCGCGTGCAACAGCTGCGATTCTTTATTCGCTGTACGTATGTACACGAGACCTAACCGTGGCGATGAAATCGATGCACCGATGCGCCCACCGATCCTCCGGGTCCTTTCCCCGCGATCACGGGCGTGGATGCACGCATCCTTTCGACGCGTGTGTCTGCGTCGGGTGCCGAGGCACCACTGATTTATGGTCCAAAAAGGAATTACGAACGTAGGAGGACGATGATTTATCGTCCTGGAATAAATTGCTTATACCTATGCCTGGCAGGGGTCGTCAATCCGCGGAGGACGCGAAGGTAGTCGAACGGACGGCTCCGAAAAGCGATAAAACGGTCAAGAAAAAATACACGGGTCCTGCAAACGGTGCAGACGTCCCCTAGGGAAAGGACACCTATCGCTTCCAAACGAAAATTTGCGAGTTTCCATACGTTACCGCGTGCGCTTGATTTTTATAGAGCATCCGGGTCGTTCGTCTAAAATCTATTATTCGTTCCTCGAGGTTCGTTTCGTCGGATAAGAAATTCGCCACCGTATACGTGAGACAATGAAACGCACTCTGCCGTAATGAAAATTTCTCATTTCCCGTCCATTACCGTATCTATTTTACCGCAGCTGCGAACGAAATGTAAATACCGACGGTACATCTGCAATATCGTTAGTCGTGTTTGTACGCCGGCTAGCAGTCGCGTTGCGATTGCCTGTGGATTTCTCAGACGTAGTAGGAGCCATAGTCGGCCACTATATCCACCACCTGGTGTACGAGGCGTATAGAGCACACGATCGTTAACCGACGTCTACAACGCGTTTAGAGGATTCGGGGAGTCGAGGGATTCGTTTAAATTACCGTTCCTTCTGGCATTAATTCCGAAAGCTGGGTAATAAGCTACCCCGTTGCCCCACCTTCGAATTAAAGCCTAATTAAATCCTTTGCTGCCTTCTAACTCGTCGACTGCGACGACTTCGAATTCCTCGATCGGGAGGCAT